GTGGGCAGAGCTGGTCCCTTCCCTGCCGGTCGCCCCTTCCCGGGGTATAAACAATCCGTTACAAACCGTAACGCTCCGACTGTGAGCAGCTCCGCTCCGCCATCCTCGGAGAGGCTGTGTTTTTTCACATCACTGAGTGAAAGGCTTCATATGTTGTTCCCCCCCCCCCCCCCCCCCAACCCCTTTTCGGCCGCTTAACTCTTTCCTCCCTGAGGGACCCCATTCTCTTCCCCCTCAGGCTCGAGGAAGTCGAGGGGAGTTACCTTTCCTGGGAAGAAATCACGGCCCCGCAGCCCCCAAGGGAGCGGGCTCCCGTCACGGCCTTTTGCCGCCCCGTGAGGGTAGCAGGCCCATCAGTTTTGCCGCAGACAAGGCCCGGGTTCAAGTCCTCCGGTGCCGAGAGGAAAAGGTGAGAGGCGCCGAGCCTCTCTCCACTCAAGGACCGGGGGGGGCTCTTTGCACTTCCCCTTTCTAAGCTCACCTACCATGTGCAGGACAAGGCCCAAGAAGCGTCCCTTGCCTGGCGAGCTACGCAACTGGCGCTGTCGGACATTTTAGGGAAGCAGCACCGCTTTCCAGGGGCCGGACGCGCGTTCCACAAGCTCAGCGAGGAAACGGGCCGCGGAGCGCGGCGGGCGGCCGGACAGGCTGCGGGGTCCTGCCCGGGCACCCACCCGTGCCTGCCCGGCGTCCCTTGGGAGCAAACGGGGGAGGCGGGTAATTAACACCGCGGGCGCGGTCCTAGGTTAGGAGGGACGCTCCTTAGAGGAGAAAACGAAGGAAAAATCTGTCCTGAGAGCTGCCTCCGGTCACACGGGTCGTGTCTCGGCTACGTATGTCTGACTCCTCGGGGCTTCATCTCGCTGAAGTCAGTGGCGGGTTTTAACTCCGGGATCGAGTTATTATTTAATTACGAGGGGAGGGAAACACTGTAACACAAAGAGCTTTATTTTACAATCCAAGAAATCCGTCTGTTCTTATATACAATATCACATTCCATCATTTAAATATATATTTGTTATGTTTACAAAAGAAAAGACAGTACTAAAATTATTTACAGGAACGAAACGAGGCGGGAACTCTTTAAATACGACTAACACGAAATGCAACCAACAGCTTCACTCAGACAGGAATGAACTTTCCGGTGAGTCTCAGACAAAGCGGATCACCGGTACACAGGTAAGTATCTTAAATTAAAAAAAAAAAAAAAAAAAAGAAAAAGAGGGGGGGTGGTCTATGCAACACAATTCAAAGAAAACAAAACTCGGGGGAAAAAAAAGGAGGAAAGGAAAAGGGGGAAAGTCTGTTTGGCTCGAGTCAGTGGGAGCCATTTTCCTTGGTGTAGGTGTACCTTGACTCGACCTTAACAAGGCCCCTGCCTGGGCTTTCCACTGTGTTAATTTGCTTCATTACTTAGTTTAGAGGGAAGGGGGTGGGGGCTCCATCTCCGTTAAATATACTACCAGAGCAACCGGATTTATTTCTCCACCACTTCCTCCACGCTGGGCAGTTTGGGCTCGTCGGAAGAAATACTGTCCACTATGGAAGAGAGACAGCGAAGGCTGCTGGAGGCCGACGACTCGGCGATGGAGCCTCCTGCTCAACGAGAGAAAAGGGATTAAAGAACAAACCGCTCCTCCTCGCCGCGCCTGAGGCGCAGGGCTCGCAGCAGGCGGAGAGCCCGGGCGCAGGAGGGTGAGAGACCGTTGGGGGCCGCGGCCG